GACCTCTCTGCAGCTTAAGCTTTTTCTAGGATAGGTGTCGGATTATGGATGGAACTCTGCGTTTCTCCAGGTTCTTTAGGCTTGCAGACATAGGGTTCGCTGCTTCGGGCTTAGGACGTGCACCGGTGGTTGACAAAAAGCCGCCATAAACCTCGTAGCTCAGCCATCCGCTTGGCCCAGGGCCAAGATGGATGCCTTTCTAGCCCCAAACACTAAACCCCTAAACCTTAAACCCCTAAACCCCAAACCTTAAACCCCTAAGCCCTAAACCCTAAAAACCCTAAACCCCTAAACCCTAAACCGTGCTCGGCTCTTCAACCCTAGAGCCCTAAATACTAAATCCCTAAGCCTGAGAACGCTGTAAAACCCGACCTAAACCCTAAACCCTGTAAAACCCTGAACCCAAACCCTAAACCATAAACCCTAAACCCCTTTGCAGGAGCTCTCCCTGGACGTTCTTTGACAGGTTGGGTTCCATCAACCGGAGCCTTCTCTACCCCTGCAAGCCCGGCTGCACTTGAGGGATTTTGGGCTCTGGGGGAGTCTTAGGGTTCAGACTAGGGGTTGAATATAGGGGCCTAGATAATTACCAATACTATGTTTTTTGTTTTTTTTTGAGGTGGCGGGGTGGGGTGGGGATCCTTATTATTGTTATAGTTTTAGTATCATGGGCCCCAAAACCCCATTAGAATTATGAAGGCCCCTATATTAGGATTCAGGGGCTTTGGCTTCAGGCTTTAGGGATTTGCGGACCGGGGGGCTTCAGAAAGTGGGGGATGCTTTCATACTAGTGAGGACCCCGGTTTTTGTTGGGGCCCGAGGTCCATGGCAAAGTCCCGGGTTTTCTGAAACGGTTTAGGGGTTAGGGTTTAGGGTTTAGGGTTTAGGGTTTAGGGTTGGTTTTGGGGTTTAGGGTTTAGGGTTTAGGGTTTAGTATTTAGGGTCCCATGTCAACTTTTCTCCGTTTCATTGGGTGGAAACGGTGGAAAGGGCCGCGAAACGTCTGAACCGAATCCTGTCTTCGCAGTAGATGACTTCGTGCTTCCAGAACCCGAGTCCACATCAAACTCGAAGCCCCAATTAGGGTATAGGGTTGAGGGTTTAGGGAACTCTAGACACCTAACCCTTAAACCTAAACCCTGCACTGCAAGTCCTCAGTCCCTGCATTGCTGAATCTGGCAGAAATCCCGGTACTCTGATAAACGAGAAGGGGTCGAATCTAATATGAATGTTCCAGAAGATAAGGTCCCGATGTACACCCCAAACGGCGGTGTCCGCAATATAGGGGCCTTAATAATTGGAATAAGGTTTTGGGGTGTTCCTTATATAATTATAGTATAATAGACCCCAAAACCCTCTTCTAATCATTAAGGCCCCTAAAGGCCCCTATATTACCCTGAATAAGGTTGCCCTTCTTGTCTGAAGCGCCACACGTTGATGTTCATCTCGGTGTGCTTGTGCAGAGTTTGGATCAGCAACCTGCGGATTCACAAGATCGTTTCCCTCTCTGCCGACAGCGCACCCCCAAGCCCTAAGATCCTAAACCCTACATAAAGCCCTACGATCCGAAACCCCAAAACTTAGCATCCTAAATTAAGCCTAAATCTTAGCATCCTGGAGCCTGGTACCCCAGCACCCTAAAGTCCCGAACCAGAAAGCTGAGGCAACCAGACGCGGTTCATGCTCAGCAAGCCCAATGAAGACTATCTGAGCCGCTTGGAGAGGAAGCTCACGGGTTTCGGAGTTTTTGGGTTTTGGGGGTTTACGAGATTTTAGGGGTTTGGGGGGGGTTTTTGGGATTTAGGGGTTTGGGGGGTTCAGGGGTTTAGGGGGTTCAGGGGTTTAGGGGTTGGGTTTAGGGGAGAGGTCCAATCCAAGTGTTTGGTCCGTGGCTTTGTCTGCTTGCGTTTGAGGGGCTGTGGGCGGATACATTGGCTGTTGGCATACCCGAGCTTACACAGGTGATGATGCCTAAACCCTAAACCCGAAGCCCTAAACCTAAACCCTAAACCCTATAATTACCTGAGGTTACACAGGTGATGCGGATGGCCTGCAGCGAACTCCCAGCGGGGAGCTGGTGGCCATTTGCCCAGACGGTGGCTAAGTCAGCAGTATGGCCGGTTTAGGGTTTAGGGGTTTAGGGGTATGGGTTTAGGGGTTTATGGTTTAGGGGTTTAGGGTTTAGGGTTTAGGGTTTAGGGTTGGGTCTTATAGCAGTTCTGGTAGAATATTGTGCCTATGCGGATGCGCATAGTCTCGTCATCTATGCATGTAGAGTGTGTTCATCTGCATACTGCCGTCTGTGTTTTTTTTGCATGAATCATGTTCTTGTTGCTATATACTATTTATTTGTTGTGGTTGTGTTTCGAGTGGTGTGCAACAGGTATCCCAGGAACACACCACGCCTGAACTCATAGACGGAAGTACAAGCTTGCATAGATACATACATGCGTACAAACATACATATGTAAATACATACATGCACATATGCATGTACATTGGTATATGCATATGCACATACATACACAGATTTAGATAGATAGGTAGACAGATAGATAAATAGATAGAGAGGTAGTTAGGCAGAAATGTATACATGTGCATGTATATAATTTCATGTACACAACACATACAACTAACCACACATCAGTCAGGGTGGAGCCAGGCCATGTGGTATCAGAACACTCGAAAAGTGTTTTCTGTTCAGTGGCGAGGAGTAGCATATATATATATATATATTTTTTTATATGTACGCATGTATGCATGTATGTATGTATGTATGTATGTATGTATGTATGTATGTATGTATGTATGTGTGTGTGTGTACATATGTCTGTATGCATGCATAGATACATACTTACATACCTACATACATACATGCATGCATACATACATACATACATACATACATACATACATGCATATGGGTAAATTTCAGTTCCGTTATCAGTATTCTACTGCATCCATTGTATTCTAGGCTGTTCTGGTATGGCATGCTATGCAAGACTTCTCGGATTTGGGGTGTTCTTGCTGCTGTGTGTTGATGTCCAGACAAGCCTGCTTCAGATTGAGGTTTTCGGGTAAGGCCGGCAAGGATGTCTCGATTTGAACGACAGGCTACTTCTGGCTTCCACCCTCCTGCCGCGATGATGCCTCCAAATGCGCAGCTCGTCGGCACATGCAAATTAAAAAAGCTCAGACACCTGAACTCTGAACGCCAAACCTGCCTGCCGCGCTGCCTGAGGTACCCTACATCACTGGAGGTCTTGGCTGGCAGCTGGATGAGGTCATGCAGAAGGCCTTGCATAGCCCGACGATCAGTTGTGACGACGATGACTGCGAAGTCACTCGGCATGGCCACCATCCTCATCCTCATCTCCTCATCGTCCTCATCGTAGAAGTTCCAGTACAAGAATGTGTTGTCATACGTGCCATTCGAAAAAAAGCATTCGCATGATGAGCAATGCTGGCAGTACTCGCTGTAGTCTTCGTCGCAGATGTGTAGTGGTTCGGGAACGAAGGCCTCGGGGGCCCATGTCCCAGCCTTCCGCCTCCCAAGCCCAGAAATCATGTTACGCACCAAGCTTGTTTGATTGGGGGTGTTGAGGTTCACGAACCAGGGAAGGGCCCGAGTTCGATTGTGCATGGCATCATCGTGATTATCGCCTTTTGGCCTTCATCTTGAAGGCTTTCCGGTTGCAGGGTCTGAGTGCGTTTGTACCGACATGGCCTGTGAGCATTAGATGTTTTTGGCAGGTGTCTCGGCATTTTTCCTGGCATGGTACCTCCCTTTTGGTAAGTTGGTTTAAGCCTCCGCGAACAAGGCGTAGCCATTGTGGCTGAAGCTGTTTCAGATGCAAGCTGCGCGATACTGCGCTCAGCGGTCAGTTGGCGTGTTTCTACTACTGTGCGTGCTTGTGCGATGGTCAGGTTTGCCGGTGGTGCATGAGCCAGGCAAGCAACCCTGCAGACGTGCCACACTTACTTGGAAGGAAGGCTTCTGTGCTAGGAGACTCGTGCACCCTCGGAGACGTGTGCCAAGACCCGCAAAGTTGCAGCGCGACACAATCCCATGGAAGCAGATCGGTGTGCTTCCCTGGCTCACAGGCAAAGACGACCCAAGCTTCAGGGACGGTTACTTTGGACGTCAGTGGACGCTTCATCGCGGTTCTGCGAGGGTGCGCTTCAGCATCAATGAATCCTTGGGTCTACTGAATGACCTAAGGGAGGGCACCCGGCCGGCTTCTCCAGATGGACATGATAGCATACATCACTCGCAGAATTACCTTGGAGGTCAAGGCGACATGGATTTCGCGTCATGCGTGCGTTCAGCTCGCGCCCCTAACGTCGATTTGGTGGCCACGTGGCCCAAGGATGGGAGCGATTCTAGAAGATTAGGACCCGGAGTAGACCCTTATTTCCTTGTTGAGGGTTGGGGCTCCCTCATAATCCCCTTAAAACCAAAAAGGGCACCCTTTTCATTCCTAGGTTACTCCTGGGTCTGAAAGACTCAAGTCGGCATCCATGAGTCGGGCGGACGGCTGGACCGTCAAGGATTGGTTGGACTGCGCAGGTGTTTGTGCAATGTTGAACCTGGGTCCTTGTTGGAGACAAATTTTGCATTTTTGTTATAATAAAGCCATAATATGGATTAAAGATGATCATTTTTAATATAGTTCCCACAGGGACCCAGGAACCAGCGAAACCTGAGCTGCGATCGTGAACTTGCAGAGCACGGCGATGCCTGGACGTTCATCTTGAACGGTGTGCAAGCAGCCAACGGTTGTTTACGAGGCCTGCACCATTCACTGTGGGCTGCCTTATGCCTGGACACGCAAATCAATGCCTACTTGAGCGCACCATCTGCCCAAGGTTTGAACATCCATTCTGATCCTCACGATGTCTTTGTCTTGCAAGTAGAGGGGAAGAAGCTCTGGCATATACTGGAAGGAGAGGCGCTAAGTACGCAAAGCTTTACTTTAACCCCTGGAGACATCTTGTACATGCCAGCTGGCCTTCATCACTTTGCTGAAAGCCTTGACATGTCGTCACTCCACATTACCATCGGCGTTCGCAGAGAAAGTTGGACCGCTTCTGCGCTCTTGGCTGCATGGATCGAAGTCGATCCATGCGTATCGCTAGCCGATGGCAAACTGACAAATGATACAATGCACAAGATGAAGTTGCTGCATCAGCGTGTTTCTAAACACTTTCTTCCATGGGATGCATGCAACCAAATGCTTGCAACATCTCTGTCTGTTCCGTTACTCCGAGCCCTGGATGAATCAGACTTACCACAGGGGCTAGCAGAGGGAATGACAGTGACATTGGCTCAATTCGCCTTGGAGCTTGCTCCCAAACTGCGCGAAAGTGGCGATGAAGAAGACATGGGCATTGCAGCCAAACTGGACGCCTTGAGCCGCAAGCCGGATCCACGGGCACTCTTGCATGTTGTGTTTGCTGTTCGCGAATTCCGATGGAAGCAGCATTACGAGTTCAACAGCGCTAAGAAGTTGCAGTTTCAAGGCACCTTGCCTGAATTGCGGGGCAGCTCTCGCTTAAAACGCTGTGCAGATGCCAGCGCTCAGTTGTCCACTACGGGCTTGCTGCTTAATGGTTATCGCATTCTGGATATATCCGAGCCCGCGCTGCCCATTTTTCGATATTGTCTGGGCATGCACACGGGTGCTGCTGGCGAAGTGTTTCGTGTCTCTGAGATTCCAGGCCCGCGAGAGTTAGTCACTGCCGTCGTCAGAATTCTACTGAGGTTTGATGGCTTAGAGCATCGCTTGGAAAAAAGAGTTCACAATCAGCAGCAGCACTGTTCCATCGGATCCAAGCGCACAGGTCCTGGTGCTTTTTGGGCAGGTGTCCTTGCAAAGATCGTCAGGATTTAGGGTCCAGTGTTTAGGGTTCAAGGTTCGTCATTGCCGATGAGCGTGAGTTCCTGTGTTGCTCAATTCTGTCTTGCTCCATATGGGTAGTTTTCTAAATTAGGGTCCCTTCGTAGGCCCACATTTTAGTACGGCACCCTTCTAAAAAGGACCCCAAAAGGGACCCTAATTTAGAGATCTACGCATATGTTTAAACCTAATCCCTTGCCCCAGGGAGGCGATGTTTCGGGTGGGGCGTTCGGGAGCTGTGCTTCCGTTTGCTGCTCGTATAAGACCTGCCTCTTGAGACTTGTGACCCGCCCTTTTCCATTTGTATAGGCTTTAGCTGTAGGCCCCATTGTAGTTCCTTTTGGGGATTCCCTAATAGGATTCTACCTATGAACCCCAAAAAGGAAATACTTTAGGGCCTATGGGTAGTTATATTGAGGTTTAGGAATGGACTTAGTGTTTAACGTGTGGGACGCAGGCTGCTGGGTTTATATTCCAAAACCCCAAATCCCAAACCCCCAAGTCTCGGAACCCCAAATCCTGAAGCGGTATAAAACCCCAAAGCCTTCCTACTTCAGGTTGGGGCTTAGCGCTCAGAAGGGGCTTAGGGCTTTAGGGTTTTAGGGTTTATTTGTTCGTTCGATCTGCTGCAACCCTTGGATTCGGTGGCCGATAACCTGCCTTACAAGGGCCTTGTGGATAGGGTGTAGGGCTTTGCCTTTACCTACAGTCTCCATTGTGAGCTTAACCAACTATATATGTAGGATCCTGCAAGGTAACCGCAAAGAAGGAACTTCAATGGATACTGTAGGTAGAGCAGCAGCTGTGCAACTCCTTGGATCGAAGGCTAGGTTCACATAGCCGGGAAATCCTACCTTCATTTAAAGTTGTATAATATGGTTTCTTATACATCATTTCTGAAAAAGGTAGGTTTTGGGGGCCACAGGTTTGGGTAGACCAAACCCCATCGAAGCACCGAAAGCTTGATTCCGTCTAGCTTTTGATCGCCTTCATCGTACCTCCCAAAACCTCAGATACAGGCGACACCAAACCCGAAGTTCACCGGGAACCCCTAAGCTCCAACCCTGAACCCGACACCCTAAACTCCAGGCCCCTGAGGCCCTGGGCCCCTTAAGCCGGCCACCCTAAAACGACAGGCCACAGCCTTTCACATGCCCTTGGCCTTGGCAGTGGCGCAGTCGGGCCAGGTGCGGAAATTGGACCATTTTCTTGGTATTATGTTGTGTTAAATCATAGTTAAGTGTAATGCATTATAAAAGATGTGCATTGTCTTCCCGGAGCCCTAAACCTCAGATGGATCTTGGGCCCAGGGTTTCGGATTCATTTTCGTATAGGGCTTACCCATAGGCCCCATAGTAGTTCCTTTTGGGGATTCCCTAATAGGATTCTAAATGTGAACCTCAAAAAGGAACTACTTTAGGGCCTGGTGGGAGAACCCAACAGGACCTAAATCCAACAGCCTTGCACTCTGTCTCCGCCCACGAGGCTATGCTCTATGGGTCAGCGACGGTGCATACTGAAGCATGTAGCAGAGCAACAAGATTTTTGGGTACCCTAAACATCCCTAAACCATACGGTCCTAAGCCACAAGCCCGTTTACAAGGGGAAGCTTCCGTGTTGGAACTCTCCAGGCTTGCATTGCTTTTTGTTTTAATCTCCGGTGGCTCAGCAAGAATATTTGCAGAATTTTGCCACTCGGATACTCTGCTCCATCGTCAATCTAGAACCAGCGAACCTTAGAACCTTTCACCCCAAGCCACCAAACCCCGCCCCTGGAACTTACCTGCACTACGAAGCTTAAACACAAGCCCTCTATGAGAGCAGGCCTATGCCAACCTACCGCTGCAGGCGCGGGTGGCACATCTTCTTTCGTTGCCAAGAAGAAGCCGCAGTAGTAAAGTAGTAGCCAGAAAGTTGGAACGTCAGTATCCTCATGCCCTTAAGGTATACCCTAAACCCTAAACCCTAAACCCTAAACCCTAAACCCTAAACCCTAAACCCGTAAAGTTGGTAGGAGAACAAAGATCAGCAATAATACGAGACCCAACATGCCTGGCCTGGGTCGTACTAAGTACAATATATAGCATGTAGCAGTGTAATGGTTTAGGGTTTAGGGTTTAGGGTAATGTATACCATAGTACCGATGATACCAAGCGAGTATAAGTATCAAGATTATGTATGTGTATGTACATATATATATATATATATGTCTACACACTGGATGACACATGTTATAGAATATAGAACAGCTAACATGTAACATATCATACAGAATTTGTAACATGCAACATGTAAGCCATACAACCGATTGTATAAGATGCGCCATATGTGTGTATATAGAGACACATATGATTTAGAATCTACAATATGCAAAATATCACATAAACCATACCATAATACAAAATATCACATATACCATACCATCGTACAAGACACAAGATACAGTATATAAGACATGATAGCCCCTGAGGGCTGCTACAACTCGCTCTCGACACTGCAGGAGCACACATAAATGTTGATTCCGGAGGCCACAAGCACCTTCTACTGGTGGGTGCCAGACCCGACTTTCCTCGAGTTGCAACCGATTGAGGCCCATGGGGCAGGGAGTGTCGAGGAGAGGGTTTCGGGTCTAGGATGGTGTAGGGGTTTAGGGTTTGGGGGTTCAGGGTTTAGGGTTTAGGCTTTAGGCTTTAGGCTTTAGGCTTTAGGCTTTAGGCTTTAGGCTTTAGGCTTTAGGCTTTAGGGTTAGGGGGTTCAGGGCTTTGAGATTTGGGTGACTGCGGGTTTGAATAGCTGCAAAGATACAGGATGAGTGTCCTTTGTCTTCGAGGCACTAGGCTTCAGGAATTTTTTGGGGGCCCCTGTCGAGGCTTATCCCTAAACCCTAAACCCTATTAAGTTGGAGTATTATGAACTAACTTGACAGCTAGCGTCTGCCATCTGGGGTTCGTGGATGAGACAGAAGCCCAAACCTGACCCTAAACCCTAAAGTTTAGGGTTTAGGGTTTAGGGTTTAGGGCCTAAGCCCTAAACCGTTTTGGAAGGCTCGGGTGTCGCTGTGGTGATGACAGTCTTTACCAAAAAGCGGCAGTGACTCTCAACCCGAGCTCCTGATGAGGTGCAGTTCCCGCCCTATGACTTCAACGCCTCTCGGTTCCGCTGAATGTTATATTCTACTATCTTGTACTGTATTATGTACTATATGTTATATTGCAATATTTTATGTACTATATTCTACTAGGTTAAACTAGATTGTTAAACTATATTATATTGTGTTGTATATTCGTCATATTGCAAGACCTTTCGGTTGCCGATGTTTGTTGTATGTCTTGGGAGGTTTGAGCCTTTGAAGTTTGCAGTGTCGCTCAGAGGACAGATCTTTTTCTGTTGGCTTGCCGCTCCATCTTGCAACCTTGGGGTTTAGGGTTTAGGGTTTAGGAACCGGAACTTGCAACCGGCATCTTCCACCAGGACCCCCCAATGGCCCTGTAATAGAGTCCTTGTGGTTTATTAATAGTAGGTGTTTGGTGTATAATTTAGGGTAGTTGGGGGGTCTAGGCATAGCTGGACTTTTGATTGTTGCTGGGCCCACTAGGCAGCTGGAATATCCCATAATCCGACCCTAAACCACGAGAAGCGGCCTATAGGGCTTATAACCCTACGACCCTTAACCTCCAGCCTGGGAACACGGTACCTCCAGCCTACCAAGGCACTGAGGTCTAGCTCTACGGAGTCGGAAAAGAGCCCTTAAAACAACAAAAACCCAAAACCAGTAACCCTAAACCCTAAACCCTAAACCCTAAACCCTAAACCCTAAACCCTGAACCCTAAACCCTAAACCTCCAGTCTGGGAACATAACACCAAGGCGTGGGCTCGTGGCGACAAGCGGACGGGCATCAGCGATTCGCCTATCAGCAAGCTCGTGAGCCCCTGGGAGGATAACTTAGGAGTTATGGGGTTTAGGGTTTAGGATGTATAAGGTTTAGGCGTGAGGGTTCACTTGTAGCAAGCTCGTAAGTCCCTGGGACTACAGCTGAGAGCCTAGGGTTTAGGACAGTTTGGTTCAGGGTCTGTCGGGTTTAGGGTTTAGGATAATTTGGCTTAGGATTTTGGGCCTTTTGGGTTTATGGGTATATATAGTTTAATGGTCCTGTGGCTTAGAAGGACAAAGCTGCGAAAATCATCAAAAAAGCGATTCCCAGTGCTTTGGCAGTTGAAGTGCGCACAGCCCTTTCCCAATCTGCCTCAATATCGACATGTGCGTGAGGTCAGGATTTGTCTACCCTCGCGCCCCGTGTGGAGGACCTCGTGAGGACCCGGCGCAAAAACCATCGTAGCCATGTAAGACGCAAAAGCCACGACAAGCAGACTCGAGAGTATCCCTAAGGGTCCATGTACCCAAATAGTATATACAAGGGCCCCAAAGTACCTATATAGAGACTACTTTATAAGGCCAAAGTATCTAGTATTTGGGTACATGGACCCTTAGGGTATGAACCTTCAACTTTTCGCGTACTTATTAGAGCAGCAGCACAGAGCCCTCAAACTCAAAGTGCTCGGTGACCCACTGGCATGGCCCTGGATGCAGTCATAGATCTGGGTTAGGGTTAGTTTAGGGTATTGGGTTTTGGATTTATGACGTTTTGGGTTTAGGGTTTTGGGATTAGGGTTTAGATCTGGCTGTTATTCGCAAGGACGAGCTTGTGGGTCATGTACAGAACAGAAGCATCAACCTCTCAACATTCTCGCAGGAACGTGCGCTTTCACATGAGCGATGTCAACAGAATGCGCCCCGGCTCCAGAGCCTTCGAAGTTCCGAGGCTCTTGAGGAGCCCGGCCCCCAAATGATCGCAGCTAAATACGGGGAGAGCATGATAAAGGTCGTGTACGTTGATGGTAAGTTCTGTGTTGAAGATGGTGATGGCGATGATGGCCACGACGTCAATCCGGCTGCTGATGCCCCTGCATGCTTCATCAGCTTCATTGTTGACTACATCAGCTGTTGTTCTTGGTGATGGTAGCTGGTGAGTGTTACTTTTGCTGTTCGTAGTGTCGCTATTGCTGTGGCAGCTGTCTGTTGATGCTGCTACTGTTGTTGTTGCGGCTCTGGCTTGTACCTTAAACTTAAGCCCGAAACCGTAGACCCACGAGCCGAAACCCTGAACTACGTGCCACACAAGTTCGCTTCCGAATCCCGCCAAAACAAGCATTGTAGTTCACCCCTTGGCCTTGGAGCCCCCATAAACCCGCATGAAAGGCTATCGAAACTCCAAACACCACGCCCCAAACCCCAAACCAATGGCAATGCGCCAGCTCAAATCGAAATTCCACCTTTCGAATGAAGTACATGCCTAAATCCCGAAGCCCTAAACCACAAATCCCGAAAAAAAACAATCGTCCCGAAACCCTAAACCCTAAACCCAGGATGAAAGACCAGAAAGACACGGGGGACTCGTTCGCGGAGGTGCCTGTTTCAAGTAAGCCGGAGATGCCTCAGGTTGTGGCGTGAGTCCGTTTGCGGGACCTTAGCAATAATCTCAGCAAGAATCGAAATATAATGAACACTTGTTTCTTTACTTAACTATACAATTATCGTAGTTGTTTTGTGGGCCAGAGTAGTCATGAGAAGAACAAAAGTGAGACTAGCAATAATCCCTAAACCCCCCAGGTACCTACTATATAGGGCCTTGGGGGCTCTAGTACCCTATATAGCAGGTACCTGGGGGGTTAGGGAATCACAAGTCGTTTTGCTAGGTAGCGGAGTGGTCACCCTTTTCCAATTTTGGGGATGAAACCCTAAACCCTAAACCCTAAACCCCTAAACCCTAAACCCTAAACCCTACACAATCCCTGTAGATTCCCACAATTTTCCTTCAGCTCCCATGGGAAGTTTGTACAAGCGAGATCGTCTTAGTATCAGCTCATACACTCTCTCAAACCGTCGAAGGTAGGAATTCTTCCGGGACTGTACGTCCGGAAGTACCTTAAACTCAAACTTTAAGCTTTGGTCACTTCTGTTAGATTTCAGACCGCAAAGAAGGTATTGCTTGTAGACTGTAACTGTCGATGAACACGTACCCCGTCCAGGTGGCCTGTCGTTGGTTGCAGATGAACCCGTGGCTTTGCTTGCATTATCTTGACCAACACCCAGACCCCAGGGAGGATTCAAACAGTAGATCCCTGAAGGGGGTTCCAATAAAGTACCCTTGAATGGTATAGATTTCCCAATTCGGCGTTCCCTTCTAGATCTCAAGGGATGTCGGATTAAATGTTCAGGTTCGGGCATTCGTAGAACTTAGGGTGAAGGGTTGTGGGGTCTGATCTAATGTTCAGGGCTTATGACTTAGAGCGCAGTGGATTTGTAGCGGTTTGTATCTAGGATTGAAGCCTTTGTGTTGAGACTATCTTGCTGTAGCTGAGAAGGTCGGAATCAGTCCGATCGTATTTCCTGATTTGATCAGAATCAGTTTAGGCATGCTTCGGATTTCCATAGACCCGGTTCGTTGGATCCGGTGTCGTAGTAACGTACAGGCAAACATGCCAAGCCACAAGTAGCAGCCGCACCAAGATCGTCGCAACCATCAAGCGCTAGTGAGTGAGAGCCATAATGCCTGCAGCAACCGTTGCAGCAGTCACCGACAGATCCCGAAGAGGAAGGCCAAACCCTAAACCCATAGGCCCCATAGTTCCTTTTTGGGAATCCCTAATAGGATTCTAAATATGAACCCCAAAAGGAACTACTTCAGGGCCTATGGGTAAACCCTGAACCTTAACCCAACCTTAAACACTGAAGCTTGATTTCCCGTAGCTTTGCTAGTCTCAGCTGAATCATAAACCCTCATAGAACCTCATACGCCCCCAGAGAACCTTGCAACTAGGTCACAAAGAACTTCATATATCAAAAGTGCTGTTATGGCACTTTGCAATAACACTGATGGAACCCCTTCAAAAAACAACGATCAAGTCCTTACGCCTTAAAGACTCTTATGAAGCCCTTCTGCCCCAAACCCCCAAACCGAAACCCTAAACAAAGCCCCCCCCAAAAAAAAAGCACAAAAGCCTTAAACCCTAAGGCCTTATAAAAAGCCCTAAAGCCCAATGCCCTAAACCCGAAACCCTAAAGCCTTAAACCCTAAACCCAGAACCCTAAAACCTTGAACCCTAAACCCTAAACTCTGAACCCTAAACCCTATAAACCCTAAACTTTGAGAAGCCGAAGCCCTAAACCGTTCCTCAAGCCCCTAAACCCTGAGGCCTTAAACCCTACAGACCCTAAAGCCTCAAGCCACTAAACCCTAAGGCCTTAAGCCCCTAAACCCTCAAGCCTGCTGAAACCTAAAGCCCTAAACCCTAAGGCCTTAAGCCCCTGAACCCCAAGGCCTTAAGCCCCTAAACCCTGAGGCCTTAAACCCCTAAAGCGAGCGCCCTTGCGCCACTCAGGACCTCCTGGGAGTCCTGGCTGCCAGACGTCACGAAATGCTTCCCCGGCCTCGGGCTCCCTTGGCCCGACTTGGGGACGTCAGGGTTTGGTGCCAGTTTGGGGGTTTCGGGGTTTGGGGTTTCGACTGATGGACGTGAAAGTTCAGGGTTTAGGGTTTAAGGTTTGGGGTTTTAGCGTACGATGTTCGGGATTTGAATCCAGCGCCAGCGCTTGGCGGGGGGGAGGGGGGGGCGGGGGTGTCGGGGGTGGGGCTCAGGGGTTCATCCGGTTCCCTTGGCAGCATGGTCTAAATGCATGGCTACAAGTTACAGATGCATCATTAATACACACATCCATCCATCCATCCATCCATCCATCCATCCATCCATCCATCCATCCATCCATCCATCCATGCATGCATATGTCATACCACGCATTCCTTGCGTACTTACTTACGTACGTGCATATGTTACCTTGTGTCTGATAGATGCCTGCGAAAATCGGCGTGTGTGTGTATCAGTACATATATATATATATATGTATATATATATATACATCATATCTGTGTACAGTTATTATTCCGCGACAATCACCTACAGGGTCCCGGTACTTCGACTGAACCCATGCAGTGGCAGAATGATTTGCGAGCCTGTCGGCCGCGTTATGTGCACATTTATGGAAGTTGGTCCGTGGATTTCAATAAGTGTAGGGTTTAGGTTCTAGGGCTTTCCCAGCTGGTTTGCTTGGAGCTAGCTCAAAAAACGGCCCTGTTGCCCCAAGCCCCGAAGCCTTGTTCTAGTCTGTTTGGGAACCTCCTAGAAGCCCTGTTCTCATTAGTTGTGCCCACATAGTGTACAACCCTAAACCCTTGGCGGCTGTAGTACCTTGTGGAACTTCAACCTTACAGCCAGCCCGGGAGCTCGAAATCTCTGAGGCTCTACAACACAAACCTCCGCCAATTCGTGGACGCTCGGGAGGCAGCAGCGTATGCATCGTGCCGTCTTGTGAGGTGCTGCAGGATATGTCAGTGCACTTAATGCGAGGTGTATGTAAGGCTACCCTAAACCCTAAATAAACCCTAAACTGGTTCTCTAAACCAACATCTGATGCGACTGTCCACCTGCATCGATGAACCACTGAAACACTGAAGCAAAATTCTGTGTCGGTAGGTTATCCTGTAATATGGAAGCTTCTTCATTTCATGGTTTGAAATACCCGAATCTTGTTCTAATTATTCAGGCCCCTATGTTATACCCTAAACCCTAAACCCTAAACCCCTAAACCCCTAAACTATAGGAGGTGCTCAACTAGATGCCCGAGTGCCAGGATCCGACGACACACGTCGAATGTCGCGCCTGCATTTCGGGAAGGCCGGCGCATGTTCTGCGTACCCCTACCTATAGGCCCTAAAGTAGTTCCTTTTGGGGTTCATGTATAGAACCCTATAAGGTAACCCCAAAAAGGAACTACTATGGGGCCTTGACTGCAGAATCCAGTATAGTAGTTACCCATAGGGTTTAAAGTAGTTCCTCTTTGGGGTTCATATTCAGAATCCTATTCGAGAATCCCAAAAAGGAACTACTATAGGGGGCCTATGGGTAATTCGAGCCCTAAACCCAAGGCCACTTGCTCCTAAACCCCTCCCATTTCTCCAAAAGTGCCTTGACTGCAGAATCCAGTATAGTAGTTACCCATAGGCCCTAAAGT